CTCCCCTGGGACGGCGGCCGCCTCCGGCCTCCGCCTGGCTCCGGGAAGCCCGCCGCGTTCGCGCCCTCCGTAGGTCGGCCTGCCAGCCCGGCGCGGCGGCTCCGTGACGTGCGCGTGACTTCCGAGTGCCCGAGTCCAAACGGAGGATGCGCTCGCTTCGTTCTGGACACATCCTGGGAACAGACTTGCGTTCCAGAGCGACCACCCCCGCTTCCCCCTTCGCTTGCCAGAAACTTTAGGAGTTGAAGTCCAGTTTCCGCTGGGGATGGCCTTGCTTTCCGCATCTCGCCCAGCTTCAGAGGGTCCCCACGGTCTCGGTGGGCCTCCGTTTCTCGCGTAAAAAACGACAGTGAGGGTGTAGTGCCCCGGGCCGCACACTTGACTCGGGCTGCAAGGGTTGAGCCAGTGCGATGGTCCCAGGGCCCAGCTTGCCCCTTCCAGCCGGCACTTTGGGCCGGCTGCCCTGGAAACCCCCCTGGAGGCTGCCCGGGCTCCTGACCGCACCCACGCTCCACGGGGGCTTCTCCAGACATGTCCCAGGACGCTGTCTAACCAGCACCAGGGTCTTTTAGTCACTTCTGTAGAATAATATGCCTCGGAAGAGCTGTGGGGGAGGGGTGGTGCAGCAGATGGTCTCTGGCAGACAGGCAGGAGACCAGGCTGCCCCTCGGGTATATCCTGGGCTTGATCGGTGGCCGCAGGGAGTCCAGAGGACATCACACTCCAAGCCAGGAAGGCAGAGCTGTGGGTGTAGCTGGCCGTAACATCCCTCTTGGATTCAGCACCCATAGGTACCAGGCCTAGTGGGAGGCCCACTTTGGGGTCGCAGGGACGCAAGACCCACCTGGAAGCTTCTCACTCTGCCAGGAAGTGAGGCACAAGCCCAATGACCACCGTGGTAGGGCATGTCGCGGGAGACCCAGTGAGTCCCTTGGAGCAGGGACTTGAAGCTGGAGGGGTCTTGGCGGAGAGGGACGCAGGCGTGTGGAGTCCAGGGAGGCAAGGAGCAGGAGGAATGAGGTGGAAAGTCACGTGTGTTCCGGAAAGAAGGAGAAGTTCAATTCTGTGTACTCCTCCACAAATACCCGCTGAGTGCCTGTTGCCAGGTGGTGTGTCACAGATGGTGTGTGGGACCCAGGACAAGGGGGTGGATCACGCTGGCTGGGGAAACGGAGTCTCTGAGAATCACTCCAGGCCATGGGGCCTCAGGAAGGTCTGGTCAGAGCTGGGAGTGAGCCAAGTCTCCTCTCCTCTCCAAGAAAGGGGTGCAGTGAGATGCACCCCCTATGTCTTTGCCTGCAGACGCTCTGCTCCTTTGGTTCTGGGGCTTGCGGGGACGTCAGAACCCTCCAAGGCCAAATTTCCTGAGGCCGTGGGCAGCAGTCAGGCCACCTCTAGGGCGAGGCCACCTGGCATTAGGACAGGAGGAGAGAAGACGCCCAGAGTGCCGGGTGGACACGTGTGTGGGGCGAGGCTGCTCAGAGACGCTTCTCTCCACAGGACCACACATCCAGGCAGTTACCATGTCCTGCTGGGGTACACCAATCTGAGCCATCCCACCAAGCACAGCATGAAGATGAGTGTGAACAAGGTCATTGTCCACCCAGAATACATGAAGGACCAGATCGTGGTGAATGACATCACCCTGCTGCAGCTGGACAGGCCTGTGGAGTATAACCCTCATGTCATCCCGGCCTGCATACCGAGTCCCAACCTGAAGGTGGCCCCGAACACTGCATGCTGGATAACTGGCTGGGGCTACATCACCGAAGACGGTGAGTGGTACGGGAGGCGAGGTGGTCCCGGAGCGGCCCGCCAGACCGCCCGTCCTTCCAGGCCTCGCGGTCCCCTTGGACGTGGCCCAAGAGGCCAGAGCGGCTCTTGCTTTGAGAACCGGGACCTGGGCCCTCTAACTCCCTGGCTCGGACTCCGAGGGCCCCTCCAGGGCTTCGCTGAATGCTGTTGGCGCTTCCACGGGCCCGGAAGGTGCTGGGCGTCCTGCAGACAGTCAGAGCAGACCCCACCTCCGGCCAGGACGAGTGTGGGGTGTGGACGACTCTCGGCCACTCACCTCTGTGAACCTTGCTGCTCACCCCATAACGTAGCCTCACCCTATCCTGCCAGCACACTGGGCTTCTGTTGTGTGGAGAGACAGGGAGAAATGCTGGGCAAAGATTTTTGCACCAGGGTAGATGCTTTTGACCGAGGGAAATAGGACAGAGTGTAGAGAAAAGGTGAGTGGCAGTGTGCAGGGTGGTGACCTGCCAAAGTGTCTCGGCACAGGCATTTGACACAGGGCGTCCTTCAGTGTGCCGCCAGAGCCCCTCCCCTGCTCTGGGCCACCGTGGGCCAGTGGCACTGCCCCCTGGGACGGAGCACCGTCCTCCAAGAGCCAGGGCAGGAGGGTGCTCCAGGACAGGTGGGCGAGGACAGGCCGGAGCAGCCCCCGAGGCAGAGCCTGAGGCCAGTGAGCAAGTCCCTCCAGATGCCTCCTTCCCCCACACACCAGCAGCCCCCGCAGGACGCGTGAGGCCGCACCGGAGTGCGCCCTCGTCATCGTGCCACTCCCCGAAACGGCCCCAGGCCAGATCTGCGAAAAACATTTGGAAACAGAGCCCAAGTGTTCACAGACCAGCTGCTCCTGGAGGCAGGGCTGTGTCTGCCTTACCACAGCATCCAAGGCCAGCCGGCCCTGCTGCAGTGGCCACCGCAGCCTCCAGCCAGGCTGGCACTCCTGCGTGCACCTGCCCGTCTCCAGCGCTGCGTCTGCACTGCAGCCAGAGGACGGGCTTTGGAAGCAGAGGCAGACCCTGGGAGGACGTCCCAGTGTGTCTGGAATGACGCCCAGTGCCACCCCCTGGCTAGAAGGGCCAGCCTGCTCTGGGCCCTGCTTGGCCATGCCTCATCTTCTTCACCCCCACGGCTGCCCCTTGCAGCTATGCTAGCCTCCCCTCACGCCTTTCCACGGCAGGTCCTGCCCCAGGTGCCCTCCCAGGGGAAGCAGGCTGGGGGAGGCGTGGGCTTCTCCCCGGCACATCCCGTATCTCCCCTCTTCTCCCACAGCCTTACTGTCTGCGCCCTTCCGGCTGCAGGAGGCAGAAGTGGTGATCGTCGAACAAGCCGCATGTGAATTCATTTACCAACCTCCAGTGGGTGTGCAAACTTCGTTTATCCTCAAAGACAGTATGATCTGTGCCGGGCAGTACGCGCGAGATAAGGCCATCTGCCGCGTAAGTGAGCTCCGTCCCTCTTGCCATGCCATCTGTGTCCCCACCCCAGCCCCACCCTCCGCTTCCTGAGCCCAGCCCAGCCTGGGGTGTTGGGGGCCCTGCAGAGCGCCGGCCCCTCTGTGTTCTCAGTGCCTTTTAGGAAACGTTGCTGACGCGTGGCATGAAGCACAGGAAAGAGTCCGGGGCAGAGGGGGATTGTGGGGTGAGGTTTTAGAGCTTGACACACTCACATTCGCATGCCCGCTTTCCTGGTACAAACGCCCCCAGAAGAACCCTGGCTTGGCTTCTCACGCGCTGTTGGACGTTTCTCGGAATGGAAGCATGCCGCATGGAGGCTTCTGCCCAACTCTTTCCTGGATATTACGTGTGCGAGATTTACTCGTCTGGCGTGTGGTTTGTGTTGTCCATGCTGGTTGTCGTCTGACGTCCCGCTGTGTGAAGACATTGCAGTCTTACTTCTCCATTCTGGTGTCAACGGCGTTTGGGCCGTTTCCGTGTGAGGCCATGGCAAACAGCGTTGCTGTGAACCTTCTGGTGCGTGTGTTTTAGGTTTCATTTTGGTTGGGGTTGCCCTGGCAGTGGAGTTGCCTTGCTGTGAGAGATGCACGTGTTCGTCTCAGCTCTCCAACCTGGTTGTGCTGCTTCCTGCTCCCACCCATAGTGGGGGAAGGTTCACACTGCACTGTGTTGCTGTCAGTAGTTCAGACCGTTTTCGTTTGTGTTTGTTTTTTTATTATAAAGGTGTGGGGTACCGTCAGGGTTAGGTATACAAACACTGATTATGCAGGTACCCTTGTTGATGAGGTGTGCCCCTCCCTCCCCTCGCAGTTTCCCTCAACTGCCAATCCCACCTCCCTCCCCTGACAGTTTCCTATTACTGTCAAACGCTTTCTTATAGTATTATAATTGTTCAAGGTTCGCTAATGAGTGAAAACATAGGGTACTCTGTTCTTTGTTTCTGTGTTAGATCACTGAGTATGATCCACTCCAAATCCATCCAAGTTGCTGCGAAGTCCATATGTTTGTCCTTCTTTATGGCTGCATAATATTCCATTGTGTATATGTACCACATTTTCTTTATCCAGTCCAACTTCAGTGGGCAACACGGTTGGTTCCGTGTTTTTGCTATTGTGAATAGAGCTGCAACAAACATACGTGTGCAGGTATCTTTTTTGTAGAATGATTTGAGTTCCTCTGGGTATATTCCCAGTAAGGGAATTGCTGGGTCACGTGGAAGGTCAACTTCTAGTTCTTTCAGAAATCACCACACTGTCTTCCAAAGAGGTTGCACTAGTTTGCATTCCCACCAGCAGTGCAGAAGCGTTCCTTTTTCTCCACATTCTCACCAGCCTCTGCTGTTGTTTGTTTTATTAACGATGGCCATTCTTACTGGGGTTAGGTGGTATCTCAGTGTGGTTTTGATTTGCATTTCTCTGATGATAAGTGAGGCTGAGCGCTTTTTCACGTGTCTGTTGGCTGCCCGTACACTTTCTTCTGAGAAGTGTCTATTTATGTCTTTTGCCCACTTTTTAAAGGGGCTGTTTGTTTTTTCTTTCGGCACATTTGATTTCCTGTAGATCCTAGATGTTAGGCCTTTGTCAGATATACAGTTGGCAAATATTTTTCCCCATTCTGTGGGCTGTCTTCCTGCTCTCTTGATGGTTTCTTCTGCTTTGCAGAAGCTCTTTAGTTTGATGAGGTCCCACCTGTCTGTCTTATTTCTTAAGATATTGGCCTTAGCCGGGCTTGATGGCTCAGTCTGTAATCCCGCGCCTTTGGGAGGCTGAGGTGAGTGGATTGCCTGAGTCCGCGGGTTCAAGACCTGCCTGGGCAGCGAGACCTCATCTCTACAATAAATCAAAAAATCAACCGGGCGTGGTAGCGCGTGCCTGTAATTCCGGCTACTCGGAAGGCTGAGGTGGAAGGATCGCCGGAGCCCAACAGGTCAAGGCTGCGGTGGCTGGGAGCGGCCGCTGCACTCCAGTCTGGGCGACAGAGTGAGACTCCAACTCAGAAAAAAAAAAGATATTGGCCTTTAGGGTTCTGAATAGGATTTGGTTGACAGTTCCCATTTCCAGAAGGGTATCTCCTGCATTTTCTAAGATTCTTATAGTTTGAGGTTTTACGTTTAGGTCTTTGTTCCATTTAGAGTTAATTTTTGTGTATGGTGATAGGTAAGGGTCCTGTTTCAATCTTCTGCATGTGGTCAGCCAGTTTTCCCAGCACCATTTACTGAATAGGTTCTCCTCTCCCCAGTGGTTGTTGGTGGAGGCTTTGTCGAAGATGAGTTGGATGAAGAATTTAGGCTTTGATTCCAGAATCTCAATCCTGTTCCATTGGTCTGTGTGCCTGTTCTTGTACCAATACCAGGCTGTTTTGATTACTGTAGTCTTATAGTAAAGTTTCAAGTCTGGAAGCATGATACCTCCTGCTTTGTTTCTTTTGCTAAGGATTTGTTTTGGCTATTCATGGTTGTTTGGGCTTCCATATGAATTTCTGTGTTGTCATTGCCAGGTCTGAGAAGAATGGTGTTGGTAATTTAATGGGTATTGCATTGAATATGTAGATTGCCTTTGATAGGATGGACATTTTAACAATATTGATTCTTCCTATCCATGAGCATGGAATATTTTTCCATTTGTTTGTGTCTTCTTGGATTTATTTGAGCAGCGTTTTGTAGTTCTCACTGTAAAGGTCTTTCACTTCTCTTGTTAGGATGATGCTGAGGTTTTGTTTTTTTTTTTTTGTGGCTATTGTGAATGGGATTGTGCTTTTTATTTGGGTCTCTGCCTGCTTGTTGTTGTTGTATAGGAATGCAACTGTCTTTTGCACATTTATTTTGTACCCCGAGACTTTGCCAAAGTCCTTTATCAGTGCAAATAGGTTTTTGAGAGATTCTCTTGGATTTTCAAGGTAAAGGGTCATATCATCAGCAAAGAGGGATAACTCAACTTCTTCTTTTCCTATTTGGATACCCCTGATTTCTTTCTCTTGTCTAATTGCCCTACTAGGACTTCCAGCCAATATTGAACAAGAGAGGTGAGAGTGGGCAGCCTTGTCTTGTTCGAGTTTTCAGGGGAAATGTTTCCAGTTTCTCTCCACTTAGCAATATGTTAGCTGTGGGTTTATCATAGATGACACTTACTATTTTAAGGTATGTTCCTTCTATACCGAGGTGTTTGAGGGTTTTTATCAAGAAGGGTGCTGGATTTTATCAAAAGCTTTTTCTGCATCTAACAAGACAATCATGTGGTTCTTGTTTTTACATCTGTTGATGTATTTAATAACATTTATGGTCTTGCGAATGTTGAGCCAGCCCTGCATCCTGGGGATGAAGCCTACCTGGTCATGGTGGATGATTTTTGATATGCGTTTTGGATCCGATTTGCTAGACTCTTGTTGAGGATTTTTGCATCTATGTTCATAAGGGATATTGGCCTGTAGTTCTTTTTTTGTTGGATCTTTACCCGGTTTGGGTATCAGTGTGATGTTAACTTCGTAAAATGATTTTGAGAGAATTCCATCTTTCTTAAGTGCCTGGAATACTTTCAGTAGGATTGGTATCAGCTCCTCCTTGTACGTTTTGTAGAATTCTGCTAGAAAGCCATCCGGTCCAGGGCTTTTTTTTTGGTAGGTAGTTTTTATATGAGAGAGTCAATTTTCTGGGTTGTTATTGGTCTATTTAGTGTCTCAATGTCTTCTTGTTTCAATTTGGGGAGGTTGTGTGATGTCAGAAAGTTTTCCATTTCATTTAGATTATCAAGTTTGTTTCCATTTAAGTGTACATAATCTCTGATAATCTTTTGTATTTCTTTGGGGTCAATTGTGATTTGATCTTTTGTATTTCTGATTGTGTTTATTTGGGCTTTTTCTCTCTTTTTCTTGGTCATTCTGGCTAAGAGCCTATCAATCTTATTAATTCTTTCAAAGAACCAGTTTTTGTTTTGTTGATGTTTTCTATGATATTTTTGTCTTCCAAGTTCCGTATTTGGGCTCTTATTTTTGTGATTTGAATTCTTCTGCTAAAATTGGGGTTTTGGTGGTCTTCTCTTTCCCAGCTCCCTTAGGTGATTTGTTAGGTTCTCAATTTCTGATCTTTCCATTCTCTTGATGTGTGCTTGTAGAGATATAAATTCCCCCCTGAGAGGGCATCTCAGGGGTTTTGGTAAGATGTTTCTTCATTTTTGTTTTTCAGCATCATGCTATTTAGTGTCCGTGTCTTTGTGGGCTTTGGGGAAATGTTGTTGGTGTTGATATTTATTTTTATTCCACTATGGTCTGAGAATGTGCATGGCAAGATTTCAACCTTATGGAATTTGTTTATGCTTGATTTATGGCCAAGGATGTGATCAATCTTGGAGTATGTTTCATGTGGTGATGAGTAGAATGTATATTCTGTGGTCATTGGGTGGAATAATCTGTAGGTGTCTATTAAGTCCATTTGGTCGAGTGTCAAGTTTACATTCTAGATCTGCTTATTGCTTTTTGCCTCGATGATCTATCTAGGGCTGTCAGTGGGGTATTCAAGTCCCCTACTATAATAGTGTTAGAGTCAATATCTTTTTTAGTTTACTTACTAGTTGCTTTATAAATGCTGGTGCTCCTGTGTTGGGTGCATATGTGTTTAGGATGGATATTTCTTGTTGATGGATTGACCCTTTTATTATTATGTAGTGTCCTTTTGCATCTTTTTAAATTCTTGATAGCTTAAAGGTTGTTTTGTCTGATATTAAGATTGCAACTCCTGCCTTCTTTTGTGATCCATTTGCCTGGACACTCGTTTTCCAGCCTTTAACTTTGAGTCTGTGTGCATCCCTTGAAGTGAGATGAGTCTCCTGGATGCAGTAAATAATTGTGTCAAAGTTTTTTTATCCAGTCCTTATCCAGGCCACCATTCTGTGTCTTTTCAGCTGTGCATTTGGTCCATTCACATAAAGGATGATTATTGAAATATGATTGTTTATCTCTGCCATGAGGTTCTTATAAAGTTTTTCCTTTGT